TGAATAAATTTACAGTAATTCACGGCAGGAGGGGCTGCTAGAAAAATATTGTGAGACATTCTGGCTGGGCTGCTAATGGTAACAGAGCCATTAAACTTCCCAGCCCCGCCTACCACACTCCATCACTAAGGACAGAGGGAGCTTGAGACTCTTTCAAATGGGATGACGACAGAAATTTCAAAGGGAACTACAAAATGCTAAAATATGGAATAATTTAGTTAGAATAATATAATTCTATAAGTTATCTTAACTGAAATATCTGCACCCTTAGATAAAAATCTGGTCCATCCTGATCATTACCATAATGTGCATGGCTCATGCATTTACTAGTTGATGAATTCAACAAACATCAATCAAATGCCTGTTATGTTCAAGGGATGCATTGACATCATGGAGGATGCATTATTGCTTACAAAATGTAGAGAGTTTGTTAGTATAATACTTACATGGTGAAATACAAAAAGAGGAAGTTTTTAAAGTCCACCTTATAAAGGAATGGAATCTCAGTAGCCCTTTTTTATTGAAATTAAAATGTTACCAGTTGCAAATTAATGCAACAGCCATAGTTATTGGCAAATTGTTAGTTTACAATGGTGAAACAAACACACAACACCATGAAGTACTCTAGTGAGTTTTCTTACACTTAGCTAACAAGTTGCATCCAAAAAAAAAAAAAAAAAGTGAGGATGAGCTCCATGAATCTGTGATGTAATTAAACACAATAGATATATTTTTAAGTGTGTAAAGGGCAAGACCCAGAAGAAAAGCCAACCAACCACAAATCCATGCTATAAACAAGGCATCCAACTTGAAGACAGTAAGGTATTATCCGATTTCTGTAGTATAATGGACGTTCAGAAACAATTTGAATCTATTGTCAATCTAACTTCTCTTGAAAGAGCCCAAACTAGGAAACTGTGATGAAAAAAGTAATATGAGACTGAGCCCCAAACTGAAGCTTCCCCTTCTGATCTCAAATCTCCAGATATTACACACACACAAAAAAAAATTAAGATTTTATTTATTTATTCATGAGAGACACAGAGAGAGAGAGGCAAAGACACAGGCAGAGAGAGAAGCAGGATCCCCGTGGGGAGCCTGATGCAGAACTTGACCCCAGGATCCCGGGATCACGACATGAGCTGAAGGCAGACGCTCAACCACTGAGCCACCCAAGCGACCCGCAATTTTTTTTTTAAACTCCAGAACCATGTTGGCAAATGAGAAAACATACTGCTAGTGGATAAGACACTGTAAGAAGCCCCTGAACAATAAATAGAAAGTGAGAGTGGGATTAAAGAGAATCAACACAGCCCCAAAGAGACACATAAATATTCGCTGCACAACAGAGAGGCTCCAGGCTCCCAGACTGAAGGGGCAGATGGCAGGACACAGTAGAGCCCCACCTCGGCTGAGCCACGGGGCCACTGCTTAAGAAAACAAGTAGACACCACAGAAGGAATAGCCTTTCCACCTCCTGTCCCTACACACTCGCCGTGGACACAGCATCCAACAGAAGCTGTAGCTGCCCCCGACTAGAAGCAATGACTGCGGGAACCTTAGCAGAGAAAATCAGCACTGCTAGGTGTTGGTGACATCCTAGAGATACAGTGAACCCTGACATGGGAAGAGGTGTTTCAGTTACAAACAACAACCACCACAACAAAATCCAATCACTAAAGACTGCAGAAATTAGAAATTGATTGTTGAGAGGGGGAAAATCCCGTATCTGGAGAAATAGCTAAAGGGCAAAGTAGTCAATAAATCCACTTTCCCATAATGCAGCATAAAAGGACAAGAGGATAGGAAGTGTTGCTGGAGGCTGAGGGGTACAGAGGGTGGAGCCAGCAGTGTAGACCACAAACCACATAAATTAGAAAATTCTTCCAGAACTGCAGACCAAACTCCTTCACACCAAAAGAGTATACTGTGTGTCAAATAGTATAATTTTTTTAAAACCCACATACATCTAGTTACACTGTGGTAAATATTTTAGAGTAACATGGAAAAGGAGAAAATCTTCAAAGTCTCTAAGAAAGAAAAGAAAAGCATAGGTTACCTGTCGAGAAGCAAGCATAAGACTGGCCTCAGGCTTCTCATCGGTGACACTGAACACAAGGAGAACATAGTACAGTACCTGCAGAGGTCTGAAAGGGATTTTTTTTGAGTCTAGAATTTTATACTCAGCCAATTCCACTGAGAAGAAATAATACAATCTGATTTTCTACCAGGAAAGAAGTTGAACATTTAAAAAATTATCTGAAAGAAATATTAGAGGATACACAGCAGCAAAAAGAAAAGATCCTCCAAAAGGCAGTGGGATACAAAATTTAATGATAGATCCAAAGAAGTAGTGAATTTAAAAAAAAAAAAGTCAAGTAACGATCTACAAATAAAATTCTAGTTGACAACAATCTGAGAGATGGGAAGAGAAAGTAAAAGGAAATAAAAGTATCTTTTCCTGTCTTGTTGGAAGTGATTTCTAGATATTTACAAGAAAAAATACATCTTAATATGGACAGTGAATATTTGGGCATTATATATTTCCAAAAAAAAAAAAAAAAAACCAGAAACAGGGATCCCTGGGTGGCGCAGCGGTTTGGCGCCTGCCTTTGGCCCAGGGCGCGATCCTGGAGACCCGGGATCGAATCCCATGTCGAGCTCCCGGTGCATGGAGCCTGCTTCTCCCTCTGCCTGTGTCTCTGCCTCTCTCTCTGTCTCTCTCTCTGTGACTATCATAAATAAAAAAAAAAAAAACCCAGAAACATGATTTATAACTTTCAAACAAATTAAGAAAAAAATCATTAAAAACATTAGAAAGTAGAAGAAAAGGAAAACACTATAGAAAAATATAGACAAAGGCTATATATAGGCAATTCACCAATGAATAAACACAATGTCCCATATACACAGAAGATACCCAATGGTCATCAGGAAAAGGCAAACCAAAAAGAAATGACATACCTTTTTTTAGAAAAACAAATAATTAGTTTACTAATATCAAGGTAGGCTTTGCTGGAGTGGTTACAAATTGGTATAACTGTTTTTTAATGTGCAAACCATATAAGCCAAGATTTTTGCTATGTACTCCAGGAAAACCTTTTCTTTTTGTAACTACAAAATGTATCATCACTTGTGCAATTATAAATAAGTAAAAAATAGTTGGAAAAAAATTAACAAACAACGAAACAGTTTAAGAGTACAAAAGTGGTAGAGAAATAAGTCTACCCATTCACCTTTTTTTACATGTTGCTTTTTGAAAGCAGCATCAACATTGAAATTAATTGTGAATGTTACCATGAATGTAACCATCCTGATGCAGCAATCAAACGCATTCCCTCTGAATCAGGACAGTGAATTTCCGAGGTGCCTCATATACACAATTCATTGAGTAATTTATAAGAAACAAAAAATTACTAAAAAACTGACAAATTCATTAGGAAATATGAGGACTAGTTCCTTCTTACCCTTTCCCTCCACGATCCCAATGGCCTATCAACAACATGTTAGGTGGGGTGCGTTACTGAAAGCTATCAAGATAACATGGCCAGAAATTAAATTTTTTTTAAAAACCTGGTTTCAGGCAAGGGCAAAGCAGGTATCTATTAAGGGATGGTTTGTGAAATAAGAGCAGGAGTTAGATGCTCTCTCTTTCTTCCTCTCAGGGATCGTTGAACCAATGTGGTCACAACAGCCATGCGGACTTGGGAGCTGGCCAAGAGGCCAGGTGACTCAACACTGAATTTCTTGTCCCTCTAGGAGATTTCTCTCAGCGGTGCAAATGTATACCGGAACAGACCACAGTTGCCCTCTTATCAATCAGGAAAAGTTATATATTAAAAGTTCGGGTTTTTTGTTTTGTTTTGTTTTGTTTTGTTTGTTTTTTGTCTTTTTAAGTATTGACTAGCAAAGAAAGCTGAGAGAAGTTGGCAAGAGAACAAAGCCTGATTTCCCCATTAGGAAGCCAAAGGACTCTAGGAGAGAAAAATCTGTGGGAAGAGTAACTGCTGTCTTGTAAGCCCTTTCTGGGTAAAAAACAAATACTTATCTCTCCTTTTATGACATTCTCATTAAAAGTGAGCTGCAGCTATATTTTCTTTCCAGAAAAATTGACCTCAAACAATAAGAGTCTTCTGAAAACAAAGAATCAAATGTTTGTGGTTAATATACAGATTCCTCACAGACAAGAACCAGTTGCTACATGGCTTTCTGCTGTGTCACCAGCCGCTAGGCCAGGAGATCAAATATAATTGTGAGCTGATTAACTGGTTGTCTCTGCCTACGTGCGTATTATCAAGGTACATCACAGAAGCCCCCACTGGTAAAATCCTAACCGAAACACGTGAGTTTTCCTTCCTTACAAACGCACTGACACTCAGGGACATGTAACTTTAAATTCTGGAGGTGCAAATGCTGAGGAGGCGCGGGGCAAGATTGAGGAGGAGTCTGGAACTCCAAACATGGAAAAGCATGTATCAGGGCATATTCGTGGTGCTCCATCAGGAGACACAGACGTCTGCTAGCAAGACAAATTTAAAGAAATGTGCTAGATTAAACTGCATTTTCTTGTACTGTGAGGACATTTGATCACCACACGATCCTTCCCTCTCCTCAGCCTGGGTGCCAACCAAGTATATACACGGCAAACTGAAATATCGCGCTCTTCGCACATAGTCTTTGGATGGATGGATAAATGGATGGATACATGCATGAGCAGACAAATGAACAAAGGAACAATGGAACATAAGCAGTGCACTTTTTCTCCATGTGCTTCAAAGCCATCCATTCAGAATTAATATTCCACTTGCAAAAAATATTCAGCAAAGCTGCTCCCAGCTGATTTCTCCACACTGCACACAAACATTGCCCAGCTCACCAGAGACCTCAACAGCATACTATATAAAATCTGGGTAGTGATAATCCTCCCAGACTCTCTACCACACCAAGGCAATTAGAATAATTAATAGCAAGTAGAATTCATTGATTTGAAAGTAAATTACCACAATTGGGTATCTGCAGGTTTGCCAGGGGAATATTCTTGCTGCTTTCATTTAGGCAGTACAAATCCTGAGTTTCTGGGCTGGATTTAGTCTCCTGAAGAGTCTTGATCCACATAATATCACAGGAGCATGTAAATGGATTGCCCACCAGGATCCTACACGGAACAAAAATGAAACCTGATCAGGCTTCTCTTTTTGCAGTTTTAACTACACTAGTGTTTACAAAGCACTAAAACGTTATGAATTCATTCTGGCCAACAACCTTCAGAAGTCATACCCACCTTTATGGCTTCACAATACTTATTCATTCATTTATCTAATACTTACTGATCTTCTGCTACGTGCAAACACCACCGCTGGACTCTAAAGGATGCAAAGTGATACAAGACCTTTCACAATAATAAGAAAACAAGACAGGAACAGGAAGAACTATCATAGAAGCTAAAAAAGAATGTCTCATAAGATGGGGAAAAACAAGATGCCATAACAAATTTATCATGGCTATTATACCGTAATTCAGATCTTAAGTGAAGATGCCAATAGTTAAGTTGTCAGGAACGCTAACACACTTATTTCTGACCAGGCTAGAGAGTCAAGTGTTATCATTTAATCAGCTCAAACCACCGTGGAGAGCAGAGCAATGTCATCTGACCTAAAAATGAGACTGTAAATACAAAGTGAAGATGAAAATGTGAGAGCCAGTAAGGTGGCACGTGGCAGCTTTCTGCACGATTCAACCACAAATCAGCAGGACCAGGACGGATGCAAGAAAGTTGGAGTCCATGTGAATGAGAGACCCTGGAAGGGAACTCTTAGACCTTCGCGCGTGCGCGCGTGTGTGTGTGTGTGTGTGTGCACGCACACACACACACACACACCAAGCTCAGGATTTCTGAGGGCAAGGGCAAGTGAGCTCCAGATTGAGCCACTGAGCCCACTGTGGGAGGGTCTGCAAAGAGAAAGCCACTAGTCAGCAGAGCTGCCTGGACTCCTGTGGTCTACGATTTGGTAACAGAGGAAGTAGTCAAGAGGAAAATAAAAACCACAAGAAAAAAAAATCTTTAAATGCTTATTTATAATACTCAGTGGCCTATTTAAGATGAATTCCATTTATGGTAATGAGCCTTTAAATGAGGCCATTTACAATCGTTACATAGGCTCTGCCTGGCATTAACCACAATACTTAAGACTTCCTTGAGGACAGGACCTGGGCTTTGCAACATCATTTACTCCTGTGGTTTTCTGGTTGGGTTCTAAGAATCTCAGAGATCCCTGGAGACTCCTCCAGGAGTTTCTTTGGGGAAAATGTGGTCATGGAAGACTCGTTTAATTTGTGTCTGCTTGATTGCCTCCAAGTATCCCTCTAACACCAAAATAGAATTTGATGCTACTGGATACAGAATATAAGGCAGAAGAAGAGATCCATGGTGCTTAACCTCCAACTAATGTAAGATATTTCCTGGCATTCTTAGTATATGAAAAACTAAAGAATCTCTCAAAAAGAAAGGTATGATTGAATCCACAGAAGGGATAAAGAAGCGAAGGATCTTAGGTTGTAACTATAGCAATGGTCACATGACCACACACACTGGCAGACAGCTGGCTCCTTTCTTCAGTTCATGGGCAAACCCCTCTTTCAGTGATTGTTACAGCACATTACACTCCGCCGTTTAGGCCTCTAGCTGTCCCACTAGACAGCAGTATCCTAGAGCACAGAGAGCGCTCTCCTTACATCCCCACGGCCCAGTGTGCCTGAGTCTCATTTGCAACCAGGCACACAATTAACATTTGCTGAAATATGCTGCAGGGAGAAAACAGAGACCCGCTGAATTGAAATCAGAGCTCTAATGTCTGACCCATCAAGAAAATGTTCTGCAGTGAAGCTCAAAATTTTCACACTGCAAATCTCTCGCTCTGGTTCACAGCTTCCCGTAATTTTACATGCCCATTCCTGGCTTAGAAAGCTTACCATTTCAAGTCCGTGAATCTAGGGGAGTCCAAAATAACTGCCCATCACCAACACTCGGCACCAGGCGACCCTTGTCACAACCTCCTGACTTGTCTCTACTAATGGCATCTTCTCTTCTGCACATTTTCCTTGTGAACAGGGATGGACCATACAACTCAGGCAATATACAGCTTTGAGCAAAAGCTACAGCCTGGTATCCAAAGGCCTCATCCATCTGGGCCCCCCTCTGATACACAGAACCTCTGCTTTGGGGTTCTTTGGGCAACTTACCCATAGGAAAGTCAAGTTTCTATTTGCTTCATGGTGGTAACACAAGAATGGAGCACACCTGGAAATGCTGGCTATTGGTCATCAACACATTGCAAACTTTTCCCTATCATTTTACAGCAAAGGAAATTAGAGCATAAGGATAAATACTGAGCGCAGTGGAAGAAAACCTCACAAGGGTGGGCAGGGAGGAAGGAGGTCTACCTCTCCTACAATGTTCACTAAAGCACCAGCAGGCACTGGGGAGTTCTGTCTATGGCTGCTTCTTCCTTGATTGGCTTTGCTCTCCACTAGGGCCTGGACATCACAAGAACCACACAGACACTATGAGACTAAGTGCCCCCCCCCCATCTTTTTCTGTTTTCCTTCCTTTAGAAAACAAACCTTTGCATAAAAGCAACATTTAAACTCCTCCTAAATGATACCTCACTGTGGAGGTTACCGATGCACATTTTAATGAGGGAATAAAAAAACAAGTGGCCAAAACTGGACCAATAATTTTTCAAGAATTTTGATATAAAAATAGATCTGCAGCATCACTCATTTAAAAAAAATTAATTATTCTTCCTAAGAGACTGTTTCCCCGAATGCCACACAATAATCATTACTTACAGCTCAGTCAAGTCAAGGTGACGAAAATGTTTCCTAGACAAGCTTGTCAGTTTATTTCGGGTAAAATTGCTGAAAGAAACCAAGAACATTAAATGTGAATTTAAAATGTGACATCTCAAAAAAATAAATAAGTAAAATAAAATAAAATAAAATGTGACTTCTCAAGAATAAAGTACACAAATAAAGATTTTTTTTCCAAAATGTAATTTTATTTGATCATGGTTCATGCCTTCCTTCAACCATAAGCTCTTTCTTCCACCTCAGAATGACAACTTAGTTGTTCCTGCCTCTCCAGAAATTTTTGTATATAGGGGAGCAGGAGGGGTGGGAAAAACTTCCAAAATGTCTCTTTTTAACCTCTTTCTTAACCAAAAGTTTACTTTTCATATGCTGATTCAGAGCCAAGTTATATACCTCCTAGAGATCTCTGACCTCCTAAACAAGTAATAAGAGGAATTAATTTAATCTAATTTAAAATCATAAAACTCACTAGGGAAAAAGATGAATTAAAACTAAACAGCATTATGAATATTTTGAAATTATATGACAGACAAGACTGAATATAAATTGCATTTAACACATCCTTATAAGAAAGAATATACCCACTGATTGATAAACTGCTGGCAGTTTATATATGACTTCTAAATAACCAGATAATTCCATGATTAGGACAAGAACAACAAAATATCAGATAACAAGGAATATGTCAGATTTCATCTGAAACTATCTAGGGATACATCATTTTAAGATCTGGACCAACCAGTGATTTTGGGACACCTGGGTGGCTTAGTTGGTTAAGTGACTGCCTTCGGCTCAGGTCATGACCTCAGGGTCCTGGGAAGGAGCCCCACATTGGGATCCCTGCTCAGGGGACGGAATCTACTTCTCTTTCTTTCTCTGCCTCTCCCCCTCCCCTGTTCATTCTCACTCTGTCAACTAAATAAATAAAATAGTAAAAAACAAAACAAACAAACAAACAAACAAACAAACAAAATGGATCTGGACCAACCAGACAATGAAAAGCCAATGAAACCAAGTCATATTTGTGATTTAAAATATACTCATGAATCTATTGACATGTTCCAAATACTTAGTTTTATTCAATGGGCAAGAGTTTCCGTTTCCAATTATCAGTGCCATGAGGCCCTGAGCTAGAAAATTCAGAGCCATAATCTTGGCAGCTGACTTGTTCTGTGAATGTGTTTACTGGTTGAATTTATTTAAAAAGTGTCCAATGCTTGAGCCTCCAGACATGTGTTTAATAACTAGCAGGAATGTAAAACAAACATCAACTTTGACAAAAACAGCCAAGCCCTCAACAAATTATAATGAGCCTTCCAGTATCTGTCTCCTGCTCAGGAAAGCAAGTGTTGGGCCGAGAGATAAGAACCGGATGGATACTCAGGGTGACAGAGTCCCGGGCCCTTCCCAGAGGCTGGTCTGCTGTGTCAACCCAACAAACTCATGGGGTGTTCAGACAGTCCACTGTGTCTGAACCATCACCTGCAGGGAGGGGTTCTAGCCCAGGAGTTAACACATGAGCCCAGGCTAGTCACATGATCAATACAGAAAAAGTCACCCCGGGGTCCCCTGATTCAACAGTACATGTGTCCTCGCCCTGCCTCCTTCTACAGGGAAGAGTTCCACTCACCCAAACTCTACCTACACAAGGGTTCCCTCTTCCTTCTACACTCCCTTCTTCTGTCTTTACACTGAGCGTAAAGTGCTCACCCACGTGAAAAAATAATCCACCAGGAAGTTGTAAAATGTGCCCACATACATTTTTCTCTTTCCTTTTGGAACGTGAACTAAAGAATCAGTTCCACTGGAGTATCATACGTTGAAAACTCAAGTCTGCCAGTGTTCTCCAGGCATCGTCAGAAATTTCCACCCTCTGAAGGAAACACCAACAAAAGCATGACTCTCCCTCCCAGGAGGAAGCAGGAGAGAGGGGGCAGATCAGGAGGACACTCTGGTCAAGGTCTAGGGCAGCTCCGAAGCCCCAAGCCTGCACCAGGAGCAGCTGGCCCTGTTGGGCTGCCAGCAGCACAGTCCAGAGTGGGCTCACATGCAAAAGAACAAGACGAGTTTTATGAACCATACTTATTATCAGGGCCAAAAGCCAAAAAAGAGGAGGAGGGGAGGAAGAAAAATCAACAATTCTCTTACTGTTTGATGATGGAACTTTGCAAAAGAACTAATTAGCACCTCTGCAAAGCCCCTGGAAAATACAAACACTGGCTTTTCTCACAACCCCTGGGGTCTCAGACACCCGGTAGGAATTAAAGGCACCAAGAAATAAAAGTGATTCGTCACAGGGGCTGGGGAGAGTCACCTTGTGATGCTGAATCTGCCAGGGCAGAGGGAGGGATGGTGAGGCAGGATCCAATCCAAATCTCCCCTAAAACCCAAAGTGAAATAGATTGCCCTTGTGCACATTTTCATATTGTTGGGGAGGCTCAGAGATAATCAGTATGTCCCTGGAGTAAAGAGAAACAGCTTCTAATACACATTTCTTTTTCAGTTCCCTGGTATCTAAAGTGTTGATAGCTGAAGTAATTGCAGAAAGTCAGGAAGAATGAGCCAGCACTCGAGCCCTCAGTCATTAGCAGAGGTTGGGACTAAGGTCTGCAATGGGAGACACTGATTTGCTCCCTCCTGCCTCCCTGCCATTCTCAAAGCCAACTACTTTATTTAATTTAATTCTGGTGATTAGGAGCTTCTTTCGTCCATGAACACTGTATATCAAGCTTACCGGCATTACTGACTGTCTGAATATTGTCTAACTTCATTCTATCTTAATATTTGATCATGCCTAAAAATCTCAACAGAGTTTTTGCAGGTTGGCCAAGGACCTGACTTCCCGGCTACTGCCTTCTATTTTTTTTTTATTTTTTAAGGATTTTATTTTATTTATTCATGAGAGACACAGAGAGAGAGGCAGAGTCACAGGCAGAGGGAGAAGCAGGCTCCCCAAGGGGAGCCCGATGGGGAACTGGATGTGGGATCATGTCCTGAGCTGAAGGCAGACGTTCAACCGCTGAGCCATCGAGGCGTCCCCCGGCTACTACCTTTTAAATAAACTATACAAGATATGTCCATCTCTTTGGTTTTCCATTCTCAAAGGACACCTTTTTGGGAGTCAGGGATACATAGCTTGTTTTATAGAAGTTGTTTACAGCACACAGAACGCCATTAAAATTATTCTACCAAATATTACCCTGAAAAAATTCACCAGGTGGCTTTGGTTTTCATATAAACGGCAGGCAACAGTCAGGAAGGGAAAGTATTAAGAGGTAGAGTAAGCCCTCTTATGAATAAGTCCCCTTATAAATAAATAAGCTTATTACTAACACTACAGTTAGCCATAGCCTCCTGTACAAATCACATCTGTAGGAGAAATGATGGGGTAAAACAGCCAATAAAATGTGGTCAGGAGAGTAATTCAGGTGTAATACTGGCTGTAATGAAAATACCAGAACTCAATCACTGAGCTTATTAATTACATCTAAGTGATGGTTAGAGCATTTTGACTTTTTTTCTATCCAACTTCTCTTTTGTTTATGCTCTCAAGACCTATGCAGACATCAGATTTGTGCAGGCAAACCAACCACAGACATGATGCCGAAAAAGCATTTAAATGAAATGTGTTAATCAAGTTCCGTGGAATTTTATCACATTTTTGCTGAGTGTTTATATCTGAATTCCACAGACATTATTTTTAAATAGACTTCATCATTAACACCACCTATAAAATATGAACTGGCTTTAGGAAATTAAGGTTTTTCATAAAATCAACAAATCTATGTAGAATGTCCAGGCGACCTACTCCAGCAGAGTGATGTCTTTTATAACTGGCATGGAAATCAGCTGGGGAGCTGTTCTCCCCAAGGAAAGAAAAGCGGACAAATATTAGAAGAAAGGCTGGTTCTCTAATTATATGGATAGCATCGATTTTATTTACCCTGCTCTTATTGTAAGAGCAGGGCCAGGGGTGAGCCCTGGAGTCATAATTCTGTCACTTTTCACTGTGGATATGAGCAAATCCAAAAACTTCCTCAGTCTGATTTTATGTCCATGAAATGGGAACCAAAAAAGACCTTCCCTATCAATTGTCAGAAAATTCAAGTGAGATAATGCTGGAGAGAGTCTGTAGGTCAACTGTAGATGCATAGACACAGAAACATTGTTACAGAGAATTTGCAAAGTGCCAAAAGGCCAACAAATGCAAGGAACATTCCTTCACTGGACACCCAAAGAACACCATTCTGAGCTTAGGGGCAGGTGATCCTCTGTTTAATGAAGAAACTCTCAGGAAGGCCATCATCTGACAGGACGTAGCAGCAAAAAACCTGAGAATGCCCACTGTCTGTATTTCCAGCTGACCTCAGTTGACAAAGCATCAACATGACCTCGGTGCAAACACCTGCTACTTTATAATCGTCTGAACCTTTGGCAGGTCCTATGACTGATTTTTCTCCACTTTTATCAATCATGACAGAGAGCTTTGAGAAAGTGAACTTTCAAAAGAGGATCTACGGTGAGGGGGGTAGTATTGGTAATTCTTAGTTCCCTAAAAAGGCCAAGGCCAAGGCCAAGTTGGTTTCCTTCAACTCCACTAGTTTGATGTCTTCTAGGGAACATGTCATGATTCCAAGGAAAAGAATCAAGGACCCTGTACCAGGACATAGTTTTCACATCAGACTCTGTTGTTGGCCTCTTGCTCTGTCCAAGATGGAAATGGCCCAGAAATCCATGAAAGGGAATACACAGGCTGTTCTAAGTACCCCTCTGAAGCTATTAAAAAATCAAAGTGAACATTTCTAAGCCATTATCAGATCTGTGCTAAGTTTTAAAAAGGAGGTTGGAGTCTTGGAAAAGAAGGAAAAGAGAGGGGAAAAATATTGAGTACTTTGGGTCCCTGAGAACAAAAGAATGAAACTTTACTTACATGTGCTGTAAGTTGCTGTTTTTCAGAAATGCTTTATGAGCCACAAATTTTAATCCAGAGTCCACAATAGTCCTAAGAAAGCACATAATTGCACATATGTTAGAACGAAATGGTGAAGCCCACTTGATTATAACAGAGCATTAGTAAAAGTTCTGAGACAAGGCAGAAATTGTTGAGTACTCACAGATTCTTCAGTCCTGCATAAGCTTCAACATCATCTTCGTTGATGATTTCCAACCTTTTCTGATTGGCAATGTAACTGCAAAAAACACAGAGAGTGAAAACCCATCAGTCAGAATGCAGACAGTACATAAAAGAACGAGTAACTTCTATACCTCACCAGGGTGGTGAGCCCTCCCCATCCACCTGAACCCCACCCTTTTTCTTAAAGTACAGCAAAAGGAGGAAAAACTGAAATGTGGCTAAGAAGAAATCATGATTGAGTAGGTTTCAAGATCAATGACAGGTTCACCAAGTTTTCTTTTTTTTTTTTTCTCAATCCTGTATCACTTTCAACTAACAAATTCAGTCTGCCTCCCCTTTCAAGGCATCCCCTGTATACAGAGAGCAAAATAACCTGGAAACGTATCTGCTACCTCTCAAAAGTGTTTCATTCTTATGGTGATGGCTACAGGGCTGCTGGCATCATCACACACAAGACAGATCACATCTTTCTGCACACGCCAAGACAACCTGTCACTCCTTTTTACCTCCTAACACACCAAAGCAAATTCTCCTCCCCTTTCTGTCCCCCTCCTCCACTCCCTCCCTTTCTTCCCACTCCCTCTTTTCTTGGCCCAGCATCCCCCTTTATCTGCCTCTGTCACCACTAATACCAATTGCTCCTTCCAGGAACCACAGTTCACAAAGCCCACATGGCTCCAGTGCACTCTCTGTAGGAACCCTCCTCTTCCCCACCCACCAGACCCTCAAATACAGGAGGAAAGTGATGGCTGGCAGGACAGAGAATACCATCCCTCTGGTCATGATGAGTGGCTCAGAGATATACACGTGGCCTCAAGCAGACCAATGAGAATTTTCTCCAAAATTGAATAGGTGATTCGGGACAGAGAGACACTCTTAATCTGGGACCATAGCTGAAAAGATTATACAGGCCCAGCGCCTCCATGAGAAATTTTTCTGCCACAAGGAAAGAGACTGTCTAACAATGAAGTCAGCACATGGAAGGAAAAAGAGCTATGAGATAAAATAAGACAGAGAACCCTGAAAAATGCCATTTGAGCCTTTGGATCCAGATAGCTCTGAGGTTAGATGTCACTAACGGAAGTTTGATATGAATTTCTGTCACTTCCAACCAACAAAATCCCTGGTAATACAAACACAGAGCTATTACAACTATCACGATGGAATTTCCTTGTGCTAGTTATCTGAGTAGCTGTCTATTTATTTTTCTTAGGTCATAACCTATTTAAAGACAACCGGATCCTATCTATAATTCTTAATATGCACCGTAGCAGCTAGCAAAGTACCTTGCACAAGGTAAGTATTCAAAAGATAAAGGGTACATAGATAGGTGGATGTGTGGGTGGGTGGGTACATGGATGGACGGATCGATGGATGGACAGACTGACATATGCATGGGTCCCTTCTACACCATCCAAAAAAGAAAAAAAATAGATGTCAAGATGTGTGGTAAGAATTGGGGCACCACTTTGGAAAATAAATTCTAAAAATAAAGAAAAGAAAATGTTCTGAGAGAGCAAAATCACACCAAACAAAAATAATTTTCAAAGCATCCAAATAAACATTGTTCTCTGTTTCATAAAAAAATCAGCCTCCAAGAGGAATATCTGGGTGGCTCAGTGGTTGAGTATCTGCCTTTGGCTCAGGTCATAAACCCAGGATCCTGAGATCAAGTTCCGCATCGAGATCCCCACAGGGAGCCTGCTTCTTCCTCTGTCTATGTATCTGCCACTATGTCTTTCATGAATAAATTTAAAACAATCTTAAAAAAAGCAGCCTCCAAGATAGAGCATCTTCTGCTCAAATATCTTTATTCTCCCTGATATCTTGCCTTTGGCTCAGGTCATAAACCCAGGATCCTGAGATCAAGTTCCGCATCAAGATCCCCACAGGGAGCCTGCTTCTTCCTCTGTCTATGTATCTGCCACTATGTCTTTCATGAATAAATTAAAAAAAATCTTAAAAAAAGCAGCCTCCAAGATAGAGCATCTTCTGCTCAAATATCTTTATTCTCCCTGATATCTTGGGCCTGGGACTTACTAAATGTGCAGGAAGGATCCATTCCCTTCTCTCCTACTACTCTGGGAGGAAACACTTTTAAGACTCCTAATGCTCAATTTTCAACATCAAGATTTTTTATGAAATGTTTCTAAATCATCACACTTTAGATTATTTAAATTATTCCACTAATATTTTCAATAGATACCACAGTGACCTCCCTCCTCTAAATTATCTCCCAATAAGAACTTCATTCCAGAGACCCCCTAGATATTAATGCTTTTTTCATGTAACTGGCAGCAAAAAAGGGCAGAGAGCATGGGCAAGGTTTCCTTTGCAGTCACAGCCAGGATTTCCAGAGAAGTCTGTTCCTGCCTTCCAGCTGTTCTAGGGGGATGTCTGTCACTGTTCTGAAATCTTCTAAGAGTTTTTCAGCTCTCTCGGTGGGATCATCATTGTATCCTCCATACTTATGACAGGGCCTCGATACTCAACAGGTACTTAGTCAACATCTGTAGCAAAGAGCATTTATCTTTAGCTTTTTTTTAGTTATTGATGGCCTTTGTTTTTTTATTTCATTTGTCATGGAATTTTTTAATCTATAAACTTCCCAGTTTTATTCAATAAAATACAATGAGCTAACATAAATTAGAATGGCGGCATGGCTGGGTGGCTCAGCGGTTGAGCGTCTGCCTTTGACTCCGCGGCATGATCCCGGACTCCCGGGATCAAGTCCTACATCAGGCTCCCTGCATGGAGCCTGCTTCTCCCTCTGTCTGTTTCTGCCTCTCTCTCTCTGTGTCTCTCATGATTAAATAAATAAAATCTTAAAAAAAAATTAGAATGGAGGACACAGAAGGAAAAAAAGGCAGAGATATCAACAGAACTAGGAATTAGGTTCAAAATACATATGCTTGTTAGTAAAGGGCACTGGGCTTAATTCTAAGCTTTCCAGTCACTGATACCATAGAAAAGAAGAAAAAGGAGATAAATTTCATTGGTGGTAAATTCACAGTGTTCACGAGATGAAAATATGTCAGACATTAAGCAAAGCATAACAGTTTTTGTTTTTTTGTTTTTTTTTTTTGTTTGTTTGTTTGTTTTTTTTTTTTTTTGCATAACAGTTTTTGGACCTAAGACTGGACAGGAGATTTTTCTGAAAAACCATAAAAAGAACCATGTGAAATTATGAAAAAATGGTCACTAGAGAATACTCTTCTACTGTGGAGGTAGCAACGCCCTGGATAAATCATGAATGTTTCTCCTAATCAGAATGGAAAAAAAACAACAGAAGAACTGGATTAAAAGGTGGCTAAATGCCCTCCAGATGCCAAGAACTGCCCTTCGTAAATTACCACCTGCAGAGATAACCGCAACATAGCTGCTGGCTATAAACTGCTCATCCATTCTACACACCCCTTCAAGAAACTTTCCTCAGCCAGCATGAAGTGAGGAATCACAGGATTAGAATGGAAACCAGTGCAGGTAATAACTGACAATTCACAGAAGGGAAACTCAGCGGCCAAACAGATGAAAAGCTGCCCATCCCACAAGGAATCTGAAATGCAAATTAAAATAAGGACATACCACTCCTCTCCCATTAGTTGAACAACATGTTTAAAGTCTGGCAATATAAAGCATTTCTAAGAATGTGGGGAATTTCTTTTACATTGTCGGAGGCATTGTAAATTGGTACAATCACTTTGAAGAGTAGTTTATCCTGGAAAATGATACATCAACACACTTTACAACCCAGTAATCCCATTTCCAGATATTTACCTGAGAAAAATCCTTACACATGCACACACAGAGACATATACAAGAATATTCACTGTAATAAAGTCAGAATTCAAAGTCAGAAACAACCCAAGTGTGCAATAATTAAGAAACAGAGAAGGCACCTGGTTGGCCCAGTTGGAAGAGCATGCAACTCTTGATCTTGAGGTCATGACTTCAGGACCCACATTGGGTGTAGAGATTACTTAAATAAGTATTTTTTTAAAGAAAGAAAGAAATATAAAACAACCAGAGGGGAAGTAAGAAGAGGTTGGGGAAAACAGGTGTCGGGATTAAGGAGTTCACCTGTCATGATGAGCATGGATGATGTATGGAAATGTTGAATCACTATGTTGTATACTTGAAATTAATATTATACTGCATGTTAATATACTATAATTAACATTTAAATTTTTAAAAAATAAACAGAAAAAATAAGGTTTAATTGAACTAGATATTTGTATTTTAGTAGAAAGAGATCTTCAGGCTAAGTGAGAAGGCAAAATAAGCAAAATTGCACACAGATATGTACATATGATATATAACAATTTATGTGAGCTTTAAAAAACACACAGAAAACAACATCACTTAATGCTCACAGTCTAGGATATTTGTCAAGCCTAAAAAGAAGACTAAAGGAAGGCCACCTTGGGAAAAGAGGATGGATTTGGGATTTAAAAAATTAAACTATTTCTCTTATTAAACTAGAAAATCACTCTTATTAAAAGAGAAAAGACAGGGATCCCTGGGTGGTGCAGCAGTTTGGCGCCAGCCTTTGGCCCAGGACGCGATCCTGGAGACCCAGGATCGAGTCCCATGTCGGGCTCCCAGTGCATGGAGCCTGCTTCTCCCTCTGCCTATGTCTCTGCCTCTCTCTCTCTGTGTGTGTGACTATCATAAAAAAAAAATAAATAAATAAAATAAAAAAAGAGAAAAAACATAACAAAAAACAGACAAAAACGTTGTGTTGGTTCTGAATGTAAGTACACAAAGTATTTTTATGTCGTTATTTTTTTTTTGAAATTTTTTAATTTAGGAAGAAAAAAGAAAGAAAGGAGGATGGAAAAAAGGGAAGGAGAGAAATGGAAAAAGACAGAGAAAGCCATACAAGTGAAGTGACTGCAGGGAAGCTGGACCCCAGAGCTTTGAAGTTACAAGGTCAAATATACTTGGGCAATTGGTTCCGTGGACCATGGAAAAGACAGTCTGAAAACCTTCTGTTCTCTGTCCCAGAGCCTGGACAGGAACCAGCAGACAAAGGAGCATGTTGGGCTGCCCCCT